ATCAAGCTTTGAAAGTTAATTTTTGATTCAATTATTAGTTTTTTTTTTGTGATTAAAATTGTGTGTTCATTTTAATTTATAGTATGGATCTACTAATCCATGAGGTTTTTCAAGTTCATTGACTTTATAGCCAACAAAACAAAAATATTTAACAATAAACTATAAATAACAGTTAACATTTGTTAATTGAAATATATATTTAATTGAAATTTACTGAAATTAACTTTTCAAAGGGAACGAAACTTGTAATTGTAGGACCTTACAAACCTAGCGTTTTTTTATTAAATATGTAGTAATTGGGAATTCATAACACGATTCTTTTTTTTAAGTTTTAAGTCAGTCTAAAAATTATTTAAAACAACTTTGCTATTCCAAAAACATAGTTCAGTTGTTATGTGTAAGTATGAATATATATGTATGTAGATAGAATGTAAATAATTAAATTTATGTAGTATGAACACTTTTCGAAAACTCCCATGAGTTGTCTAATCTTTCACTTCGTTACAGAAAATATTTCGATTACTTTTGTAATGACAACCATCCGATATAGATCGAAAACTCTATTTAAATCTCTAAGGGTCAATCTTTAGGTGAAAGATTAGCGATTAAATTAAAATTAGTCCTCGAAAGATGTTTTTGAGTACTCAATTAGTTAATTTTGTTTGCAAGTTTAAGCGCCCAATGGAGGTGGTTTAATCTTAAGCACGAAATGCAAAAGTGTAAACAGCTGATGCAAAAAAATTAATAAAATTTTTATAAATATAAACATTAAAATGTTCTATTTATTGATTAGTATAAATTATGGACACTTCAAAATAATTTTGTTTTTAATTAAGTTTTCATTAATTTCATATTAAATTTCTTCTTCTTTTTATAAAATATGCATAGTTTTGATAACAAACAGTGAAGTTTTCTGTTGTTTTGTACGGCAACACTGCGAAGTTTAATCTTGTACTCAAAAAACATCAAAGGGGATTAACATAAGATTAAATTATTTTTAGATTAACTAATCTGATTATAAATTGGCATTTGATTACCATCTCAAAAACCCGCTCTAAATTTATTAAAATCGATCAAATGTTGCAGTTTTATTAAGTTTTCTTAAAACCATTAGTTTTTTAAAAACCAAAAATTTTTATGAAATCAGTTTTCTATATTTCTCATACATTTTATTGTAAATAAATTTAATTAATATTACTTCAAATAAATAAGTAAAACCTGATCGACTAAACTTTTTTTTTTTAATTTAATAATTTGTTTGTGTGTGTTAGTTGGTTTACCAAGTATCTGTGTTTGTGTATACTTGATAACTGCATATTGTTGGTGAGTGACTTGATAGCCTTGACGCATGCCAAGGACATTATAAATGCAATTGCAAATGATACACAAACCAAAGCAACAGAGCAAAAGAAAAGTGAAAGATATTAAAAAAAAAAAAATGTAAAGAAATAAGAATATGAACATAAGTAATAAACTAGAATTTATACAATTTATGCAAACATACGAGGGTGAGCTGAGTAATGACTTTTAATGTCATGTTTATAGTTTTAATATTATAGAAAACTGAAAATGTATCAGTTAAAGAACGAAAAAGTACCAATTAGTCCTATTTTATAGTTATCGCTTACATGCTTAAAGCTGGAGGTTCACACTACGCGTCTTCGCGGCAAAGCATTTCGTGCTTTTCATACATTATTTGCATCCTACGCATCAAGTTACATGCTACGCTTCTTAAGCGTCAAATTTTTGCTTTATTTACAAAGAACTTCGCGTTTTTTAAAAGTTTTTGTTTTTTATTTTCACATTTAACTCGTTTTAGTTATTAAAATTGATAAATACACATTCAAGATAGAATATAAATTGTCAAAATCAGCTGACATATTCGTGCGCCGCTTATGACGCTTACAAAGTAGAAAGTAGATCTACTTTATGCATTCTACGCGTCAAGGCATCCTACGCTTTTGTGCTTGTAACTTCTAGCACACAACAACATTGATTCAACTTTTTTGACAGCCGCGTAGAATGCGAAGAAGCGTAGAACGCGTGGTGTGGACCTCCAGCTTAACTTCATGTTTCTGTTTCATGTTATTATAGAAAATTCAAGAAGTATTTTTATTTTTCGTTCAGTTATGAAGGAATCAAAAATATTTTTTATATGTTCCCTGGTTTAAAAGAAACATAGGTGCAAAAAAATAGTACCAAAATACAGTTTTAAGCCGTTTATTTCCTAAATGTGCCGAATTTGAAATGAACGACGATGAGCTTTAAACAGTATATTCGGTTTGCCGAATTAATCCTTTTTTATCCCCTAAACATTATATTTTCCAAAAAGCAGTCTTAGTGGATCTTTTTGATAGGAGACCAATCTCCAGTCCGTATTTCAACTCTAGATTCAAAACGTTTAGGCTGTGCGTCATGAATCAGTCAGTAACGTTAGATTTTATATAGGCATGTACTATATACATTTATAGATAAATGGCTTATTTCAATAAATTTTTAACCTACCCTCGCACATAACACCAAATAGCGAGCCAGGGGAAGAAGCTTTCAACTATAGCTCTTACATTTGTACACATACATATAGTCACACATCCGTTCCACAGAAGGATAAAACTGTGTAGGTTGTGTGGGGCAGATATGGAACATTTACTACATATTAAACTGTTGTAAACAAACAACAAGGAGCGTGCGAGCGCCCTTGTACACTATGTATGTGCATATGTAGATATGTATGTACATAAATATATACCCAAACTCAAGAATGGAATGTAAGGGAGTTGCTTATTGTTTTTCTAATGAACACAATTGTATAACAATTTATAAAATAAAGAATAATAAGGAAACTTACCTCTATATTGCCCATTGTTGGAAAGAGGTGAAGACAAACATGAAACCGAAGCCCAAAATGAGCACATTTACAAATTTTATATCCATGTTGAAGGCAATAAATGTCAAACACTAATTGATGATGTTGTTGTTGTTGTTGTTCAAATTAGGTATACAATCAAAATGAATTTAATTGAGTATTTATTTTAGTTATTATTTATAAATTTATTTCTTTAATAATTGAATTTTCATGTTATAAAACAACGTAATTAGATTTTGTTTTAGTTTTAGTTTAAAATTAAGTTGTATGAATGTAAGAACAACAACAAAACTTCCGCACTGTATTTTGTGTTCTTTTTCTAGTTTTTTTTTCTTTAAAATAAAACTAGACGTAAATTCTGTTGTTAATTCTCAATTAAAATTTAAACAAATTTATATTGTTATCAACTTGATTTATTCTTTTTATTGTTGAATTAAAATAAAATACACATTTAGTGTAGCGTCGGCGACTCCACCCGTAAATACGTTTTTTTCTTTAGTATTTTTCACTTAAATCTCATTTGTTTTTTTTAACAATTGATTTTTCAGGCAAAATAATTTAGCAAATTTTTCTTCATTTTAATGAAAGCAACTTAATTGAATGAAATTCAAAATTATTTACTTTTTTTATTTTTCACTTGCTAAATAAAAAATGGTTTTTAAATTTGTCTGATGCGCAGCACAACAAAAAATATATTGTAATCCAAGCCAAAAGCAAATAAGACGCGACAGACCGAACGAGCGAACGACAACATACACTTTGGGGTTTTAAAAGCGAAATGAATCAAAAACAGAAAAGCATCCAAATTACATACATACAACAACTAAATACAACTAACCACTTAAACACACACACACAATAAATAAATACATTTTTCTATTAAATGCCAACGGAACAACAACAATAGAACGATATAAAAACAAACCTGCACTTAGTTAAGTTTTTATTTTCATTCTTTTATTCTGTTTGCTAGTCAGTATAAAGTAAAATGATAAATATTAAAAGCAAAACAAAAACGAGAAATAGCAAGTGGAGTCTATAGCTTAAATACCCTTTATTAATGTAATATTACTTAAAGGGAGAAACAAATGTATACTCTTAATCTAAACTAACATTTTTCTTAAGATAATTTTCTAATTATTTTTGTTAAATTTACACTTTAATTATGTTTTTCTCTCTATCCTTTATTTTTGCCGATAATAGTCGACTTTTTTAAAGGTTTTTTTTATATGGCTTCCGGTTAATGACTTTTTATGTGTTACAAAACTTTTATAACGCTCATAATACCGTAGTCATATGGTAGTTTAGTAAATGTAAACAATGAACAAATGATTAAAACACATATGTGAGTATACTAAACACTTCCTAACACTTGTTTAATATAGACAGTGTTGTAAAACGTTAGTTTAAACAGCTGTTAAGTAAAAATTTCTTAATGACACAATGGGGAAAACAAATTTATAGACAATTTAGTGCAAACACTTTATAAATATAATATATATCCCCATTTTTATGACTAACAGAATTTACCCCGAATTATTAATACCTGAAATAAAGAAATTATATAAAATTGTTTTTTAAAATTAATTGAATATTTATTTGTTTATGCATTTCTAGAACACTTGTGTTATAAATCAGTAAAAATACACAGGCCAACGAAATTAATACTTGGAAAAACATTAAAAAAACAAATCTGATTCGATTTCATGTCCATATTTGTAGGTGATAAAACTGAATCTAATATGGCCTTTTCTTTATTATTCTTATTCTTTATATGGTATTTAAAATTTAATTAATTTGCATATTTCGGAAATTTTATATATGTAGATAATTACAAAAATATATTTACATGGGTCTTTATCGTATAATTTTCTCGAGTTTCATTTAAATCGGCTGAAAACTACATACATATAATGTTTCTCGGTATTGCATAATTTGACTTTGACCTTCACAATTTATGGATTAACATTATTCGATTTTAATAACATTTCAGATATATGTTTCCTATTATCTGAAAATATATATTTTGAAGAGATTTAAATTTAAAATTTCATAATTATTTCCGTTTCCTTTTAATAACCAAATCATAAATCATAACTTTTTAAAACGTTTATCAACACTGCAAACAATCGCCCATAAATAGACAACAAACTTAGAAGAGAATTCCTCAGAAAAATTAAAGCAAGACAAATTTTTATAAACAATTCATTCCAAAAATAGATTGCAAATATAAAGTACAAAATATACTTCATTAAAAGAAAAAGTTTATGAAATAAAAACAACTAAGAAAATAAACAAATCTATAGAGCAGAGGTAAATAAAAATTAAGTTTTTACTTGTTAATTAAATTAGTTGCTTAATGATTTAGTTGTATTTTCTTCCACAAAAATTAGCAAGACAAACACAAGGTCATTTCATTTACAATATCAATCATGGGTGACAACAGCAGCCGTCACTTGTTAAGAAGTCTTATTAACGCCTCCGAAAAGGCAGCCAACATTGCCAGAATCTGCCGCTCCAATGAACAATTACTGAAACTGCTGGTGCAGGAGAAAACCGGTGATGAGGCGAATGCTAGATTTGAACATGATTTTAAGACCTTGGCTGACGTTCTCATCCAGGAAACTATAAAACATGATGTGGGTGAAGAGGTAAATTAGTAAAACGAAATAAAATATAAACCAACAATAAAAACCTGTAGGCGTCGAGAGTCTTTAAAATATTGTTGTTGGTTTATTCGCATTTATTTTATTATTATGTATACATACATAATTGTTTTTGTATCTTTCTTTTTCATCTGCTTTTTTGCGTTTAAGTTCCCTGAAATGAAAGAAAATATCAAGGGTGAAGAGTCACCTAACTTTAAAAATTCTCAAGATGAAAATGTGCCAATCGTGGTGGGAGCTGAGGTAACAGAAACTGTGGAATGTTTGTTACAAATTTTACAAGAACAACATCAAGAGGCAGCCCAAATTCTAGCCGAAGAAGTTCATCGTAGTGTAGAATTTGATAAAGAACTACATGAGGATTTGCCTGAATTACCAAATGATGTGGATTATAGTCAATTGGGTATATGGATTGATCCCATAGGTAAGAAGGAACCATAAACGTATTACATATCATAAGCAACTGTTTTCTATTCAGATGCCACCGCTGAATATATATCCGGCGATACTATTTTCACCAATTTTCCCGGCATAACATCCACTGGCTTGGATTGTGTTACAGTCCTTATAGGGGTCTATGATGTCAATAGCGGTTTGCCTGTCATTGGCGTTATTTCCCAACCATTTGGTAATAAAATCGAAGACAATATCTATACATCTGCTTTATTTTGGGGTATAGCATTACCCGACTTACAGGCACACAGCAAAATACTAGATAACGTCCGAGAACGCTCACGACTGTTGGGTATTTTTTCGAGTTCAGAACGAGCAGATTTATTACAGCAATTGCTGGACTTGGGCTATGAATTTGCATTTTCAGCTGGTGCTGGACATAAAGCTTTAAAAGTTATAACCGCTGAAGTAGATGCGTATGTATTGAGTAAAGCTTCCACGTTTAAATGGGACACTTGTGCACCCCAAGCTATATTACGTTCCTTAAATGGTGATATTATCGATTTTAAAACAAGTATAAAAGAAGGAAAAGCCATACCTTTGACTTATACTAACGCTACTGAGGACACCGAAGAAGGTAGAGCGGACAAGGATTGGAAGTGTAATAGTAATGGTTTAATAGCTGTTAGAGATTTAAAATTATTAGATAATTTATTAGAGAAATTAGCTGAATCTTAAGTTCAATTATATTTTAGATTTATCATAATAATGATAAATATATTCCAATCAAAAATTCCTAATTGTTTTTAAGTTTACTTTAATTGTTAAACTAAGTGGAAAATAATTTAAAATAGTTTGAAAATGTTAAATGAAAATTGATTTGATATTGATAAAAACATATTTTTTGTATTAGTTAAGTGGCAATTTCTTTAGATATTCTTTAAACTTAAACGACCATATTCTTAATTTTTTAAATTAAGAAATAAATCATCATCAAAACAATGGAAATTGTAGGATTTGAAATCGTATAATATTCTTTGCATATATACCAACACCTGCCAGATTTGCTAGTTTAACAGTAAATTATTTCTGTACTTAATATTTTGAATATATTTTTCTTAAATCTTTCTGTTTAAACCCAATAAATCTGACTGTTTATGAAAATGACCAATTATTAAAACATGGTATATGTATATTCATATTTTATATGTTTATACGCATATAATTAATATTGAATCTCTATGTTAAATGGTAGCTTTAAATGTTGTTGGTCTGATACTGTACTTGATATTATTCCTATTGAAAAGTGTATTTTAATAAATATTTATAATAAAAAAATAATATTATTGTCAAAAGTATTATCTTCATATATTTTCAATTATTTAAAAGGAACAAATTTCGGTAATAAGTCCCATGATTTACTAATTAGACACAATTATATCCATATTTATATTTAAGAGAATTCATAAAATCAGAAAGTTTTAAAGGTTCGATTAATTTTGGAATAAATTGCAGAAATTAAATAATTCTATGGAGATTTCTAGATGAGATTCTACGCGTTAATCACCATTAATAATCGTTATAAATCAAGCATACAACTCTCAGTACTTTGGTCTAGTCTATAGTCTAGTCTATAGTCTAGTATATAGTCTAGTATATAGTCTAGTCTAGTCTATAGTCTAGTCTATAGTCTAGTCTATAGTCTAGTCTATAGTCTAGTCTATAGTCTAGTCTATAGTCTAGTCTATAGTCTAGTCTATAGTCTAGTCTATAGTCTAGTCTATAGTCTAGTCTATAGTCTAGTCTATAGTCTAGTCTATAGTCTAGTCTATAGTCTAGTCTATGGTCTAGTCTAATAATAATTCTATGGAGATTTCTAGATGAGATTCTACGCGTTAATCACCATTAATAATCGTTATAAATCAAGCATACAACTCTCAGTACTTTGGTCTAGTCTATAGTCTAGTCTATAGTCTAGTATATAGTCTAGTATATAGTCTAGTCTAGTCTATAGTCTAGTCTATAGTCTAGTCTATAGTCTAGTCTATAGTCTAGTCTATAGTCTAGTCTATAGTCTAGTCTATAGTCTAGTCTATAGTCTAGTCTATAGTCTAGTCTATAGTCTAGTCTATAGTCTAGTCTATGGTCTAGTCTATAGTCTAGTCTATAGTCTAGTCTATAGTCTAGTCTATAGTCTAGTCTATAGTCTAGTCTATAGTCTAGTCTATAGTCTAGTCTATAGTCTAGTCTATAGTCTAGTCTATAGTCTAGTCTATAGTCTAGTCTATAGTCTAGTCTATAGTCTAGTCTATAGTCTAGTCTATAGTCTAGTCTATAGTCTAGTCTATAGTCTAGTCTATAGTCTAGTCTAGTCTAGTCTATAGTCTAGTCTATAGTCTAGTCTATAGTCTAGTCTATAGTCTAGTCTATAGTCTAGTCTATAGTCTAGTCTATAGTCTAGTCTATAGTCTAGTCTATAGTCTAGTCTATAGTCTAGTCTATAGTCTAGTCTATAGTCTAGTCTATAGTCTAGTCTATAATTCTAGTCTATAGTCTAGTCTATAGTCTAGTCTATAGTCTAGTCTATAGTCTAGTCTATAGTCTAGTCTATAGTCTAGTCTATAGTCTAGGTCTATAGTCTAGTCTATAGTCTAGTCTATAGTCTAGTCTAGTCTATGTCTAGTCTATAGTCTAGTCATAGTCCTAGTCTATAGTCTAGTCTATAGTCTAGTCTATAGTCTAGTCTATAGTCTAGTCTATAGTCTAGTCTATAGTCTAGTCTATAGTCTAGTCTTATAGTCTAGTCTTAGTCTAGTCTATAAGTCTAGTCTATAGTCTAGTCTATAGTCTAGTCTATAGTCTAGTCTATAGTCTAGTAGTCTATAGTCTAGTCTATAGTCTAGTCTATAGTCGTAGTCTATAGTGCTAGTCTATAGTGTAGTCTATAGTCTAGTCTATAGTCTAGTCTATAGTCTAGTCTATAGTCTAGTCTATAGTCTAGTCTATAGTCTAGTCTAAGTCTAGTCTATAGTCTAGTCTATAGTCTAGTCTATAGTACTAGTCTATAGTCTAGTCTATAGTCTAGTCTATAGTCTAGTCTATAGTCTAGTCTATAGTCTAGTCTATAGTCTAGTCTATAGTCTAGTCTATAGTCTAGTCTAGTAGTATCTAGTCTAGTCGCTAGTCTAGTCTATAGTCTAGTCTATAGTCTAGTCTATAGTCTAGTCTATAGTCTAGTCTATAGTCTAGTCTATAGTCTAGTCTATAGTCTAGTCTATAGTCTAGTCTATAGTCTAGTATATAGTCTAGTCTATAGTCTAGTCTATAGTCTAGTCTATAGTCTAGTCTATAGTCTAGTCTATAGTCTAGTCTATAGTCTAGTCTATAGTCTAGTCTAGTCTATAGTCTAGTCTATAGTCTAGTCTATAGTCTAGTCTAGTCTATAGTCTAGTCTATAGTCTAGTCTATAGTCTAGTCTATAGTCTAGTCTATAGACTAGTCTATAGTCTAGTCTATAGTCTAGTCTATAGTCTAGTCTATAGTATAATCTATAGTCTAGTCTAAAGTCTAGTCTATAGTGTAGTCTATAGCCTAGTCTATAGGCTAGTGTATAGTCTGTAGTCCTAACTATAGTCTAGTCTATAGTCAAGTCTATAGTCTAATCCATAGTTTAGTCTATAGTGTAATCTGTTCGTATAGTACATCATATATGTATGCTAGTGAATATAGTTTAAATTAAATAAAAATTAAATACACAAATTTCTGAAAATCTTGGTACTTTTTTGTTCTTCAAATTGTTAAATTCTAGCGAGTAATAAAATTATACAAAATTGTTCGGGAGCATATTCTTACCATGAACTGGAATTGTTATTATTGCATTTATTTGTTTTAAAAGTGATTTTTATTGCATTACGATATTAAAAACAATTATAAATTAATAATGACTCAAACTACAATAAAAATCCTTAAAATTATATAAATTCCTTTATAAATATTGTTACCATTTAAATGGGGAAATTTAATAAAACAGAAATTAACATAGCTGCTAAAAAGGAAAAGACCAAATTAAATAAGAAAAAAAAAAACACTGTTAAGAATAAACGAAACAAATTAAGACGTGTATATTAAAATAAATTTACAACATTTAATGAAAAAGACATACAATAAAACAAATGATTACAATTAAAATTAAGAAAGAAAATACAAAAATATTTAATTATAATAAAGTTAAATAGAAGAAATACTTGTTTTAAATAAAAATTATTTAAAACATTTCGAGAATATGGTTTTTGTTTTTTTTTGGTAGGCAGTTGTTGTTTGTTTTAACACAAAAACTCAATTTTTTTTTTATTGTTTGTTTAATTTTTTATAAAAATTTATTTTCGTTTTGTTATAATTTATTGTTGTTACTTTAAAACAATTTTACTATGGCTTTGTTTGTGCTTTTTTATACATTAAAAAAAATATTAAAATAAATTTAAAAATTACTTGTATTTCGCATTATTTCTATTTAAGAAATAATTTGTAAAGGTTAGTTTAAAACAACTAATTATTATTAATTATTGACTTTAGTTTAAAACAATTTGTTTCTTTTATTTATTAGAATTATTATTCGGTTGCAGTGTACTATTTAAGGTTTCATTATTGTTTAATATTGTTATTTTTCAAGGCACTATTTTGTAGGTATTGTATTTTGTTTTGTTTTGTTTTTGTTTTATAAAATCGTATTTTGTTTTGTTTTTTAACAGATTTGTTAAATTTACATTTTCTTATTCATAGTCATTTCATGAGCTGTTCTTAAACGCTTTCTAAGCTCAGTGGGGAAACGTTCATAACATTTCTTACAAACTGGCTTCTCATCATATTCATAGAATTTCGATTTCTGAGTCATTTTTGTATCGCACACAGAACAGGCAAAATGATGTACACACCAGGCTTTATTAAGGGCCGTGAAAACTTTATGATTGTTACAAAAACACAAAAATTATTTAATATTTTTTTTGCAAAAAATTTCAAATATTTCAACTTACCATCTCCGGCTATAACTTGATTGCATACAAAACATAAATTGCCAAACAATTGATGATAATGAGTTTCACAATATGCCAGGCCACGTTTCTCATAATGACGATGTCCCAAGAATGGTTTTTCACATTTGGCACATACAAAATGCTAAATAAAATAATATGGACGGATGTTATTGTTAGTAATTGTGTTTGGTGTTTATCACAATTTTTTGTTTAATACGAACCTCTACATGCCAGTGTTTGCCCAGGGCAGTGACAACACGTTCTTCTATGGGACGACGACAGGCGCCACAAATTGGTATACCCATTTTATCATGACAACGCAGGCAATATAATTCATTCTAAAATAATACGGAGAAAAATACAAAGTTAGTAAAATGACCTTGAGAATAATTTATAATGTTGTATGTATGTATATTTTTAGAAAAAAAGCTAGTGTTTGTGGTTTGGTGTACTTTTGTAAAATTTTGGCGTAAAAAAGTATTTTATTGAAAAATTCTTAAGAGAACAAAATCTTAAATCAAAACCCTCAAAAGATCTCGATGTTAATGCTAAAAAACTCGGTGTAATTGTTTTGGAATATCTAACAACCTTTTGGAACTCTCTATTCATCAACTGGTGATTTCAGATATCTGGAGCGTCGCTCGGGTAATCCCAATTCTAAGACCGAAGCATCAGATTATTATGCAGAATCCTCCTTCTAGACACGTCATCCAAAATCTCATACCATTGGACGTCAACAGACTGTAAATTGCTAGCGCCGGGAAATGTTTCATCAAATGGCGGTTTCTATAGCCATTAAAAGCTACAAATGCAACAGGGTCCTAAACGAACACCCTCGGCAATCTCGGATTGTGAGAAACAATTGCCCAGGAATTCAATAACTACATTATCACAATTCAGAGCAGGTTGGTGCAGTTTCCTCAAATGCTACTGTGAACGGATCATTACTAGCACTTTAAACCGTTCCCATATAGTCCCGCTATGTCTACAAATTTGCGTTTCCCCTGCCACTCACAGGCACTAACACAAATAACACTTCCTGAGAATAATTTGGACTTTTCTGAGTGTCATCAAAGTCATGCTAAACGTCTCTTATAGATCATTTAGTAAAAATAACTCCAGAATTCACTCACCATATCATTAGCTGCCAAACCTGGACGACTTTTAACCTCTCTTGCGGTTGAATCTAATTCTTGGCCGCAAGCAGTACAATTGAAATGATAACCATGATAAACTTCACCACGGAAACGCAAAGGTTCCTCATCAATAAGACCGCTTTAAAGTAAAATACAAAAAAAAAAAAAAAACAAATTTTAAATATCAAAAAAACAAATTTCCTAAACATTTTCAACTTACTGGCATTTTTGGCACACATAACGACCAGTTATTTCAGCCTTAACCTTGGCATTACACTCATGACATAAGGCACGATTTTGATTACGTATAAAACCGCTATCAGCCAATTCTTTGGCACACAACTGACAACGGAAACACTGTGGATGCCAACTGGCCGACATGGCTTTGATAACGCGTCCAATAACAAATTCACCACATTTATTGCAGCAGGGTGCAAATAAGACATGAAAATCATGTTCACAATATTTACGACCCTCGAATTCATAGAAAATGCCATCGGGAAAAGAGCGGAAACATTGGGCACAACTGATAATCGAAATACACAATTTAGTAACTTATTTTGCTGATAAAAACAATCCTTTAGCTACTTACACAAAACATTGCGTATGCCACAATTCACCATTTGAATTGACTATTTTTTCATTTGGCTGAAAACCATCGGCACATCGGGTACAATGTAAATTGTCCAACGACATGTTAGCTGCCTGTAATCTAAAATTATATTAAGAAAATTTAAGAAGTTAATTAGTTATCTATTTGTATTATTTATGTATTTAAAAGAAATATTTGAATTTATACTCGGCACATTGGCTTTGACTTCTGCTAAAAGATCTTTCCATTTTAATCATTTTTTTTTCAAAATTTAGTTTTTCTTAAATTCAGTCCTTCTGTAACGACGTTTTATAGTATACTGCTGATTTCTTTTTAATTTTTCGAAAACCTTTAAGATTTAGCTATTGTAAGTGGTTGTATTTTATCAAATTGTGAATCACGTTTTAACACCGCAAAAAATATTACGCTTACTTCACTTGGACAAATAAAATAAAACGTTCGATATCAGTTGTATACTTGGAATGTTTATATTTGGTTAAGAATATATACTACACAGTTGTGGACATAATTTTATAATTTCAATGCAGATTTGTGTTTATTAAATTTTAGGAATTGATAAGTTTTTTAAAATGGAAGGTTTTTTTCATTATTCGTGACCGTATATGTTTTTGTTGATGGATTGGTCAACTTCCTTAAATTTTATTTTCTACATTTCATTGGACAACAAAAGAATATAATGGACCGAATTAAATTGCTTTTAGATATTATTTAAATTCAAAACACAGAGATTTTAATTTACTTAAAAAGTTATTTCTTAAAATTTAAATTTAAAATACACCCGCAACATTGGTAGGTACATATGTTTCATTATTCCAAGTGAATGCATGGGATTCTCTCGCCCATTTTATTTAACTCAGTTCCCGTTGGGTCGAACGATTTGTTATTCGTCAAGTTTCCTTTATTACATATGCATTCGTTATTTCATAGTCGTCCATAATGCCGAGCTTATGACTGGAAGAGTATTCGATTACGGCTCTATTACAGTCCAATACATTTTTAGACTTAACCTTATCAGCTGATATGATTAAGTAAAAGATTTTCGAGTTTTTAATGTAGATCCTAGATTCACAAGGGGCTTTGTTTTTCTGTTCTGATTGACCACGATCTCATATCTGCCCAATGGTTCATACACGCAGGCGGCAATACTTTTACATGGTGCTATATACAAGCACTTTGCTCCAGTGCTTGATCTCTCACCATAATCTCCTCTTATTCACAAAGAATATATTGTGGTAAGTCCGGTATGAACAGATTAATCCCTGAACATACACTGAAAAGGAAGGAAAATCCAATGTTACATATTACTTGGATGATACTTTTCATCCATCACCATTTAATCCAGTACACTTTTTATTTATAAGACATATTCATTGGGAAAAAGATTCGACACACTCATTCTAGGTATACGGGTTGACGAAATCTTCATTTTCGGTACCAGCACCGAACCTTTCCCGAAATATAGATTTCATAGTTAGTATTTTAACCAAAATTTTTTCCGCGCAAGTTTGAAACCACCAGTTTATAGTCCCGTCAGACTTGAGGTACAGGTAGCACCTCTTTTCACCCGGATTGCAATCACACCAAGAAGGGGCTAACATGCCCTTGAATATCCAGTAATGTTTTCCGAGCAACATGGACAGCGTACCAGAAAAGAATAAAATATCGAGGCGTAAGTAAAATCGGTTATACAGTGAATCATATTGGGACATATGGTGACTTACTGGTCCTATCCTCTATGTAGAGTAATCATTGTCTATTGGTAACCAGTTCAAATCATTACCACTAGACAAAAGTAATGACTTCTGCAGAAGCTGCTGAATGCCCTGCCGTCGATGATCATAGACTGAATCCGCAAGGTAGCAAGTAACTGACGTGAATATCCCCAAGATAGATTCCATAAATCGTGCGACTAAATGGTTCGGATAGGTTTCCAGAGTTTTTCAGATCGAATGGTACTAATACGTCGACCATTCTCTCTTTTCAGGCACCACAAAGGTATCAATACGATGGACTTACGTGTGTCCCTAGTGACGTAAATTGAGGACAACCTGCTAACCTAACCTAGCACAAGACAACAGCCATAGTGGGATCTATTTACTAGGGGAATAGATGCTTCTTAGCTAGGATACTTCCCACAAATACTTTAGAGCAAGACACTCTCACTCACTCTTGACATAAAGAATAAACTTGTTAGAAAACCATTGAAAGAAATTATGAAGACCAGTAAGATTTGATCTTGACATTCACTACAATGCCAAGATCAATATTTACATTCGATATTCAGGTAATGAAACCACCAAGTTTTTGTTCAATTCTACTGGTTTGTATTCATTAACGAATAATAATGTTATTAATGGTTTATAAAAAGAATTTTGTTTAAAAAGTGCGTAATAAACCATTGGTAACTTCTTCAAGACCAGGATCACATATTAATTTACTATAAGACTGACATATCTAAATATTTGCATTTTCTGAACAACACCCACTGACTGCAATTCTCAAAAATTTTCTTCTTATATTATAAACATATAATGTTAACTTTTTAAAACTCTTTTCTTTTGCTTTAATCAAATTTAATTTATTATTTATACAAAATATTTGAACTTTTTATCGCTAAAAGTTCAAAATAATTTACATGCTTAAGAAGACAACTAGTATCTTACTCCATTCTCTGGCTACTGAAATATTTTATTTCGTTTATTGTAGTTAAATTAAACAAAATTTAACTCATCAACATTCTAAAATAATTTTTAATGAGAAAAGAAGAATGTTAAAAGTGAAATTCCCCCTTTCTGCAATATAATTTTTATAAAGAGTTTTTTTTCTGCATGCCAGCCAAACTTAATGACAAATATAGCATACTTTCAAGAGTACTATAGAGATCACTATACAACAGGGAAGAGAAAGAGAGTCCAAAAAAAGTCTCAAACGAAGATACAACTAAAAATAAATAATGACGTCATATCAAAAACAAATTTTAAAAATATAAACATCTGGATATTAAACTAAACAAATGAAAAAGAAAAGAAAAAAGCATACACAAAATTTGAATCATCAATTTGAAATCTTGAAATCTACATAAAATAAAATTAAAAATACTCTTACTATAGATACAACTAGACAAACAATTTACTAACAACTTAAAGCAAAACAAATTTCAAATATACTGCAACCAACATGTGGCGCGTTAAATTCAAACAAAAACTTAAATAGAAATTGTAACAATACATATTACAATAGTGATGATCTAAATGAAACTAAAACATTTACAGTTTATCTTTGAGTTACAAAAAAAACATTAATTGGGACATATTTTTTTGCAAACAATTCAATTGAAATTATAAATTATGAGATAATCGTGGGCGCATAAAACACTATTAATAACAACTACAACAGAATTCATTGACAGACAGATAAAAACCACATTCACTCATACTGTGGTAAAAAATATATAAAGTGCTGTCATTTTAGTGCTTTTTGCTCTTTGAAAATTGAAACGAGAGTCTCATATGAAATTCCTTACTGCCGGTCCACACTAGGAAACTTTTTTTGGGAAACTTTTGATTTTGAGTGAGAGAGAAAGAATATCATTCATCTCTCTCGCGGTACGGAGTTTCTCGTACTCGGAAACTTGTTTTGTTTTGTTATTCTTCTCATTCGTACAACAACAAATCAATGCAATTAATACGTAGTTTATGAAACAAAAGTTTCTATGTGTGGACCAGGACTTAGAGGGATTCTAGGTAGATTATTGGCAATTTGCAGTCTCTCCATACGGATGTAGGATTTGATATGACAAATATTTTAAAAATTGTTTTCTTTTATTGATACTGGGTAAGGATGGCTGGAGGTGTTATGAGACCCTGATTAAATAGTAGCTACGGTCCATGAGGACCAATAAGGATTGTATCTTAATCAGAGTTAATCCAAATTAATCTTCTCCTTGCATGCACTAAAATCATATATTTCAACTGCTTAATATTACCTATCCGATGACATTCCATGATTTCCGCAATTCTTAACAGTCATTTTGTGACCAATCCCGAGCAACATAATAAAGCAATAACCTTATAAGAAGCCAAGAAGGTTTCTTTATCCGTGACCTTAGAGCGGTTTAAGAACATAATTCTTCTTCATTTATTTCTATGAGAATAAAGTGAAAATAGTTGCAGTGATTGTGCAGCAAGCTGCTGTTAGTCCTCTATTCAAGTGGAGTATGTAAAAACTATCTTATGTTGATATTTCACCCGATATTATGTCAAAAGTTAAACTTCAATAATTTAGTAATCAAAGAGACTTTATCAAATTCGTCAGATTCAGATATATGAATAACACTTGCATTTGATATTTTTTACATTAGGTCGCCGGTTTAGTCGAGATCTTTGGCGATTCCACTCCAGGGAAGATCTAACCATACGTTTCGCTAGTTTTCGTAGATTATGCTCTTCATTTTCTTCCAACGATTTGTCTTATCATTGACTCTTCCTTCATCCGCCTATAGAGATCCTAATTTTAGGTCCAAAATATTTGGAGGTACATATTTGTTAATGAAATTTTATAGTTGTTGTACTATATTTATAGACATAAGCTATGTTTTACTTCTATACCGGTATGTGGACTTTTCGCATGAATTAAACATTATTAGTTTTGTGTTTTAAGATATCAGCATTGCTCAGATGTAATGATATTCGAAGATAAACGATTATAATTAATACTTCAATACGTTTTTTATACCCTACACCACTTTAGTGGGGAGGGTATATTGGATTTGTGCTGATGTTTGTAACATACAAAAATATTCGTCCTAGACCCACCTTAAAGTATACCAATCGGCTTAGAATCGTTTTCTGAGTCGATTAAGCTATGTCCGTCCGTCCGTCTGGCAGGCTGGCTGGCTGGCTGGCTGTCCATGTAAACCTTGTGCGCAAGCTACAGGTCGCAATTTTCAAGATAATTGGATGAAATTTGGCACGCACGTTTTATTTGACCCAAGGACGAAGCCTATTGAAAATGGTTAAAATCGGTCCATTATTTCACCTAGCCCCCATAGAACAGAACCCCCGAAAAGGGCTTCTGAGCTCATAATTATGTTAAATATA